AACTGTAAATTGGGGAGTTTCTGTTGCTTTTCCACTAACAACTGTGTTCCTAGAGGAATTCCACCCAGTAACCTGTTCTTCATTCTTGCAGATCCAGAAATTGCTCCTCAAGTTATAAAAAAGTAAATACAAGGCCAGCATGGTTGCTCAAGCCTATAATCCCGCACTTTGGGAGGCCAAGACAAAAGGATTGCCTGAGCCCATGGGTTCAAGACCATCCTGGTCAACATGGTGAGAAATTCTCTCCAGAATAAATCAAAAAATTAGCTGGGCATGGTGGCATACACCTATAATTCTGGCTACTTGGAAGGGTGAGGCAGAAGGATGGCCTGAACCCAGCAAGTCAAGGCTGCAGTAGCTGTGAGTGTGCCACTGCACTCCCACCCGTGCAACAGTTGAGACTCCAAATATATAAAAAAAAGTACATACGAACACAACATGAAAAATCCTTCTGAACTATACTAACTCCCTTCTCTCTGTATCCCTCCCATCTTTTTATATTTAACCTTTATTCCCATCTTTTATATTTAACCTATACATTCTTATTAAATCAATGATACAGAAACAAAAAGAAGTAGCCTTGTTCCTTCAATCCTGGGAACTAGGCTACACTTGGTATCCATGACCCAGGGTGCTAGGATTCACTCCCATACAGTGTGGTTGTGGTTTCCAGCACAGTTCACCACAGCATACTTCTGAGTGCATAGTGCATGCTTCGTATACCCTGTTTCCAGTATGTTTTTCAAGGGCAGATGTCCTTATACATTGCTGTCCTCTCCATCCAGCCTGTGTAAACTCTAAAGGGCCAGCAGAGGATGATTTTTTGGGATGGAGATCCGTTGTCTTCTTCATTTGGACATAAAGTATTTGTGTCATGATGAGAGACCTTGCGAGCTGGGTCTGCTTTCTCTAGCGGAGTGCTGCTGACTGTGGGCTCAGGTAGCACATTCACAGGAGACTTGTTTTAAAAGTGTATTCAGGGATGCATTAAAACCTGAAGAAGCAGTTCCTCAGACTGAGACCCCAAATACCACAAGACTTATGTGCAAATTTAGGCTTGAGAGGTGATGCTTGGTTAACTGGTTCTCAGCCTGGTCTTCCAATTAGAATCACATGGCCAGGTTGAATTTAGTTTACCAATACAAAGGCTTATTCTGAATATGTATGTGTGACTTGTCCAGATAATCTCAACTGAGAAGAAATCCCAGAGGAAGAGGAAGAAATGGCTGGTAAATGTGTCCCAGGTCAGGGGCTGTGTCCACTTTTCCTACTGGAATATCATTTCACTACTTGCAAACATTTACTTCTCTACTTGTGATGGTCCTGCCTAATATCTTTTAATTAGGTTTTGCTCTTGTGATATTCAAGGGTTATGGAAAACACTTCTCCCAACATGGCAGAACCTTCTCTCTGTTGTTCATTCATGCTACTTAGCCGCCATAAACAGTTCTCACCATGAATTTATAACCTGCAGTATTAAAAATATTCCCTTGTGACTGTGGAACATGGAAAGACGTAGATACTTAAGATTCCCATTGGAGATGGGGGACATCCTCAGATAAAATTGAAGGATGAGAACATGTACTATCAAGGTTCCATCTGGATGCTCCATCAGTTCCATGCAGAACAGTTAATAAAATGCACATGTAAACAGGATGGCAGTAACTGCCCAGAATAACTAAGGAAGGGTATTCTGGATTGGTTATATAAAGAATAATTAGGCTGGGCTTAGTGGCTCAGCCTGTAATCTGAACAGTTTGGAAGGCCAAGGCGAATGAATTGCCTGAGTCTGCAGGTTCGAGACCAGCCTGGGCAACATGGTGAGACTTTTTCTCTAGGAGAAAACAAAAATTAGCAGGGCAAAGTAGTGCATGCCTGTAGTTCCAGCTACTTGGAAGGCTGAGGCAGAAGGATCACTGAAGCCCAGCAAGTCAAACCTGGGGTGGCCCTGACCATGCCACTGCACATTGGCATTAGACAAGTTGGTGGAAGTGTTCCGAGTCTGAAGATTGCTTTTGACTTCTTTTGTAACTTCTTTACAACAGGACACTCAAACTAAGGCAAATGGTGGAAGCAGAATTGGTATTGTATAGCCACATTTTTGGAGAAATAAAAGTGTAAATAATCAGACAGAAACTCATGTGTCTTCCTGTCAAGCCACACCATGTGACCCAACTCTCCTGCCTTTTCTCCACCCCCTCTACCTGTTTGGCTTATGCCACCTTACATAGTGAGACCAGACCCTCTTCCACCTCATCCTCAAATTCTTATGTTGGAGTCAACAAGAATGAAAAACTTTATAATGACCTGCTTTATTTAATGAATGGTAAAGATACTTTTTCTTCCTCATGAGTTTCTCTTTTTCTTTTGAATTCAGTGTATACCTGTGCAGGCTTATTACATGGGTATATTATGTGATGGTAAGGCTCACGTACCTGTTGAAACTATCCCCAAAACGCTGGAGACAGTGTCTAACAGCTTTTCAACACTTGGCTCCCTCCCAATTACCAGTTTCTAGTGCCTACCATTCTCATCTTTATGTCTGTGTGTATGCAGTGTTTAGCTGTCACTTATATGTGAGAACACACAGTATTCAGTAGACTTTTTGGATTAACTTGTTTACATTACTGTAAGAGTAAATATATAATACACATAATATTCAAAATTTGTTAATGGATTGTTTATGTGGAATACACAGGGAGAAACAATGCAGTTTCTTCATTCTGAAAATGCTCTGTCTCATGTAGACACAGAACTCACTCTAAGAGGAACATTTATTGCCTATTATAGAACATTTATTACACAACAAGCACTTTGTTGGAATGTAAAAAAATACAAATATAAAACAAAAATGAAAACAACCCCTGGATTTATATACTCCCCAAAGTTTTCACTGAACAAATTGGCCAAGTAAAATCAACAAAAACTCAGTTATGTTAATTATACAAAGTAAAAAAGAACACCAAAATGATTAAATGGTATTTAGTTGTGAAGAAAAATAAAATATACTTTAAAAAAGTGACTACAAACACTCATTGTGAATTTCTTCTTCATAGTGCTTTCAAACATCATTCAATTACATTTTTAAAAATTCCTGAAATTTCTAAGCAGTCTAAACTATGATCATTTTATGAACACAGTCTTGCATGAATAACTGTTAAAAAGAGGATTCTGAACTAGAATCCATGTGGAATAATTTGAATGTGAAGCAGATTAAAACTGATTTACTTTCAAATTCAAAAATTTTTTTTAAAAGATTATTTCTTTTGTTTCAACAATGTCCTTTCCTTTTTAATGCACACATTCACACACCAAAATTAAACTTCCTCTTCTTTAGCTCTTGTACTCATAGTTTTAGACTGATATAGTTGTAAATTTCAGTGTAAATAAAAAAGTTTTTATGTGCATTGTAGGCTAAGAGAAGTACAACGTGTACATACTAATATATAAGTATTCACAATAGAATTCAGAAATGTATGTCTTATAATTATACTCCTGTATAATATTAATTACAATAATCAAAATGATTCAAACTTTAAAAAAATATAGGCTATAAAAAAGGATCACTAGAGACATCATTCCATAAGTTGATGGTCACCAGTATATGGTCATCAATTAGCTACAATCTTGAGTAAGATAGAATAGACTAACACTAGTGGCAGCATAACAATTTATTGTGTGGACAACTGTTAATGCTTTATAAATAATTCTGTTCATTAAAACATTGTTTACATACCTTAAATAAGCACTCCAAAGCTCACTGTATGCTCACTAGCAAAAATAGATTACAAACATCCAAGCATTTGTTTTTCTGATAGTGATATACGTGCAAACAGCTTTCTTTAGTTTTGAAAACTGAGTATGATTATTTACTAAACATAAACAGTAATGCTCAATGTGAGCCACAAAAAACCTCTCCACTTAGTTTTTTTTTTTTGAGTTGGAGTCTCACTCTGTCACTCAGACGGGAGTGCAGTGGCCACTCCAGGCCACCGCAGCCTTGACCTGCTGGGCTCTGGTGATCCTTCTGCCTCAGCCTTCCAAGTAGCTGGAACTACAGGTGCGCACTACCACACCCGGCTCATTTTAATTTATTGTAGAGATGAGGTCTCGCCAAGTTGCCCAGGCGGATCTCGAACCCGTGGGCTCAGGCAATCCATTCACCTCAGCCTCACAAAGTGCTGGGATTACAGGCTGAGCCACCGAGCCCGGCCCACTTAGATCTTTCAATGGAAATTACATATCAGTGTTGTTCATCCTCGATGGAAAACATGAGATGACTGCTTGTCACCTAGTATAAAAGCGCCTATCATAGCTCTAACGCAGCAATAACCGACACCATGCTTTTATATAAACACTAGGAATGAAGGCATAGCATCTAGTGAGTTACATCAATAGTTTGCTTTCCAAAATATCCTCAAATTCTGTCAATGCAAAAACAAAACTACACAAGGAATATACTTATGCTTTTCCTAAAAAAAGAAAACCCACCTTCTAATGCTATTAAATATCTGATGTTTATTTCCTCTTGACTTTTCATTAAATAAGTTTCCACATATATTGCATCTGTAAAGTTTTCAGTCTGAATACCCTAGTGCTTTATATGGCATATGTTTTGAACAAAGGTCATTCAACGTTCTTTAAGTTTGTAGATTCTCTCCAATACACACAGTCTAATGTCAAATCGTTTTTGCTGGTTAAAAGCTTTAGATATTTTCTACGGTGGTACACTCAAAAGATCTGTGTTTTAAGTAAAGGTAATGGGAATCTGTACATCTGTAAACTTCTCACCATGTTCTATAGTTTATATCTAGATATATGATTTTCCAGTCATTACAGATACAGGAAATTTAGAGTATGAGTTCTCTGATATTGAGAGAACTTGGAATAACAGTGAAAAACTTTGCCACATCCTCCCCATCTCTAGGGTTTCCCTATATATAAATGGTCATATGTCAACCAAGTATTAAATGAGAGCTAAAGGCTTTATCACATTCCTCTCATTTGTATGGTTTCTTCTCATTATGGATTCTCATATGTCCAGTAAGTCCTAAATGAGAACAGAAGGCTTTACCACATTTTTCACATTTGTAGGGTTTCTCTCCAGTATGGATATTCATATGTCTAGCACGTTGTGTGTAAAAAGCAAAGGCTTTGCCACATTCTGCACATTCGTAGGGTTTCTCCCCAGTATGCACCCTGATGTGTCGAACCAGGTTTGAATGAGAGCAAAAGACTTTGCCACATTGTTCACATTTGTGGTGTTTCTCTCTAGTATGGATGGTCATATGAACAGCAAATCCTTTATGAGTGCGAAAGGCTTTGCCACATTCTTCACATTTGTAGAGTTTCTCTCCAGTATGGATATCCATATGTCTATCAAGTTCAGTGTAAAAGGCAAAGGCTTTGCCACATTCTGAACATACGTAGGGTTTCTCCCTAGTATGCACCTTGATATGCCGAGCAAGTTTTGAATGGGAGCAAAAGGATTTTCCACATTCTTCACATTTGTAGGGTTTTATTCCTGTATGGATGGTCAGATGACCAGCAAATCCATTCTTAGAGAAAAAGGCCTTGCCACATTCTTTACATTTATAGGGTTTTTCTCCAGTATGGATTCTCTGATGTTCTATAAGCCTTGAGTACCGATCAAAGGCTTTTTGACATTGTGCACATTTGTAGGGTATCTCTCCAGTATGCATCTTGATATGTAGAGTAAGGTATGAATGGGAGCGAAAGGTTTTGTCACATTCTGCACATTTGTAGGGTTTCTTTCCAGTATGGATCATCATATGACGAGTAAATACAAAATGAGAGCGAAAGGATTTGCCACATTCTTCACATTTGTAGGGTTTTTCTCCAGTATGAATTCTCTGATGTTCTATAAGCCTTGAGTACCGATCAAAGGCTTTTTGACATTGTGCACATTTGTAGGGTATCTCTCCAGTATGCATCTTGATATGTAGAGTAAGGTAAGAATGGGAGCGAAAGGCTTTGTCACATTCTGCACATTTGTAAAGTTTCTTTCCAGTATGGATCATCATATGACGAGTAAGTACAAAATGAGAGCGAAAAGATTTGCCACATTCTTCACATTTATAGGACTTCTCTCCAGTATGGATTCTTTCATGTCTATTTAGATAAGATGATTTCCTAAACACTTTCCCACATATATTGTGTACATTTCCTCCACTAGTTTTTTGATGTTGGCTACATTTTGAGGACTGGCTAAATGCTTTGCCATATTCATGTCTGGAAGCCATGTCAGAAATATGGATTCTCTGATGGATAATAAATTTGGAGTGTTGATGAAAGACTTTCCCACATTTGTTACATTTGTAATTGTTATATGCAATAGAATATCCTACCTGCCCTTCACCCACATGCATACTTTCCCAAGATGTTTTTAAGTGTAAGTTCTTAAGGCCAAATCTTCCACATCTTCTCTTTGGCACCTTTGTAAGTGACTCTTCTATGTTCTTCTCTGGCAAAACGCCCTCAGTGTGTTGAGAAGTCACAGCTAAAAATAATGAAAATAAAAATTTATTCCAGATACTAGACTCAGGAGAATATCGTATAAAAATCGAACATAACGTTATACCATGCTAAGGACATTACCACGATGGCAAGTAAAAATCAAGGTTTCCACTCCTTCATAAATATATGTGCTTAAGAAAATACTAACCACACTGCCTTTGTGAGAACTCAAAAAACAGCTCAGACTTTGCAGACTCACCAGTGAGCACAATGTTAAAAAGTTATATGGAAGAGGAAGTTTAGTAATTGTGCCACCATAATCTATCTTCCTTCACAATACAGCATGATGCAATCAGATGAAATCTTCTAATTCTTGACTTCTTCCTCAGGGAATAAGCAGAAGAGTGGAGCATGAGTCCACACTACTGTCCGTTGTGGGTTTACCCAAAACTGGACTCTTTCCCAACTTAGAGAGTACTGAAGAAGATGGTGGTCAAACTATTTAACTGGAAGTGTACATGCATAATTTCAGAAAAGACACATCCTGAGTACAGGTATGAGAGGCCCCTGGAATCACTAACTTAATGATTGGTGTCACAGTTACCTACACAAAGTAATCCCATAAGCAATACGACATGTATCTGTTTTTCAAATATCCAAATGCAAAAAAAGCATCACAAAGCATACAAAGAATCAGGATAAAGGACTCAATTACAGGTACAAGAACGAGAAAAATCCAGAATTCAATCCCCAAAAATTGGAGGCATACACACACCTTGACAAAGAATTCAAAATAAGCAACATCATGGGACTTAAAACTATTAAATTGATGTATCTACAAGCCAAGGGTGGGGAAAAACTATTAAAAATAAGAATTTGTGGAGCTGATAATTACAGAAAACTCTGATAAATTTTCAAATGTAATGAAGAAAAATAGGAAAATCAGTAAGTTTACCGAACTCAAACTTGGACACACACAAGCATACAGTTAGAGACGCTATTATCAATGTTTGGGGCTGTGGCACCTCACATGTGTAATCCCATCACTTTGGGAGGCCAAGGTGAGAGAACTTCCTGAGTGAGGAGTTTGAGACCATTCTGGCAATTATTGAGACCTCGAATTTACAATAAATAAAAAAATTAGCTGCCCATGGTGTCACACACTTGTAGTTCCACATACTTGGAAGGCTGAGGCATAAGCATCGCCTGAGTTCAGCATGCCAAGGCTGCAGGAGCTGTGAGTGTGCCACTGCACTCTAGCTTAGGTGACAGATAGAGACTCTTGACTAAAAAAATAAGATTTGAAAGGCACAGACAAGAACAGATTTACTTGTAAGAAAGAAAAAAACATTGGTGCATCATATATAAGGATGCTCCCATGAGATTATCAGTAGACTATTCAGGAGAAATGTTGCAGGCCAGAAGGAATTGGGTTATATAGTAAACATGCTAAAAGAACAAAGCTACAAAACAAGAAAACCATGTCGAGCAAAACTGTCTTTCAAAATGTAAAAAAAAAAAAAAGCCTTTTCAAAATGAACAAACTGAAAAATTTAATGTAAGTTCTTCTCCTTGAAAACTAATCATTCTAGAATGCATCAAAAAATTGATTTTAACTTTTTACAAATGGTAGACATGGGAAACACAAAAACATCCTGTATTATCCTTCTGGAGAGCCAACCTCTTCAAGTACAAGTTTGAACATGACATAATTGTTCTAAAATTCCATCAGTGCATGTGTTTCAGTTAGTGTTGTTGTGAGAGACTATATTACAGAAGAAACATCCTCAGTTGTGGCAAACACATGACTGCGAAAATATGTATACTAACCAACATGATTGAGAGATTCAACATGATCCCTGCCCATTTCCCCATGTCACTTTTTCCAGAAATACCAAAAAAACCCTCTAAAATTCACATTAGACCATGAAATTGCTACAGTAATTGAAACAGTTTAGTGCTGTCATAGGCAGAGAGTTACACTGAAGAAACAGTACAGAAATTAATCCTTGCCTTTAGATTCAAATGGAAGTGTTATTTGCACACTGATACTTACTGCAACATTATTTACAAAAGCTAACAATTGAAAAGAAATCAAATATCTTTCATCAAAGAAGGCAATTTGAAATGTGCCAACAATGGACTATTATTCAGCCTTTAAACAGCAGGATATATTATAGTTCCTACAATTAGAATAACTCCGGAGATGACTATTCTAATTAAAATAAGGCAGTAACAAGAAGTTCATGTCAGTAAATTCTAAGTATTTCATACACAAAGATGATATACACTCATTGATAAACATATGATGAAAGTAGATCAATTACTCACCTAGATAAAAGAACCACTAACCAAGAATTATATGTACTATAACAAAAATAAAATGTACACAACCATATAAGTGCTTACATAATTTTATTGGCAAAGGCTTGTTTCTGATTTATTCTGGAATTTTGTCCCCCATTCTCTTAATTGGAACAGAGTTTTACACAGCTGTACATGGTATCCGAAGTGATAATAGGTTATCATTTTAACCCTAATTAACGAATGCATGAATGTAATTATCTGACGGAAGCAAAGAGAATGCTAAGTCAACACAAAAAAATGAAATTGTAGATAGATAAAACATAAAAATAATAAGGGAAACTGTAACCCATAAAATCATGGATAAACACAGTTGCACTGCTTAAACAGAATCCTTTTACATAACTACAATGTTCAACTTTGGTTGGGCATCCATGAAAAGCAGACATCATGTATCATCAGTATGTAATTAGATTAGTGACATTTAAGAAAACAATGAATTTTAATTACTCATAAAAAAATTTAATGAGAAAATTTTAAGGACCCAACATTTAAATGATACTAATGAATTTTCTTTACTATGTTATAAATATACTGCTGCTATTTTTACACAAAAGGGAAAGTGGTAATTTAGTCTTTAGGAGTGAAGAAAAACCTTACAATTATAAATACTGGAGGCATCATGAATATTATTAAATATGATATGACACTGATGAATAAAATGAACCATTGGGAATACATGATATTACTATTCACATACAGGTTGAGTAAAGTGAAAGAAAATGTTAAAGATAACTTTTTGCAAGCAATAAACATAAAAAATAAATATTTAAACAAGAGTGGAAAGCTACCAATTATCTAACTCACCTCTTACATAATATATAAAATAAAGTATGTTATTTCAGGACTTTTTAAACTAAAATTATATGTAAACTAATATACTACAAATTAAAAACTATAAGTGAATAACTTAGTTCAGGTATTCTGTATAATAAGAGAGCCACAATTATAATAGTTTTTTTATTTTTTATTTTTTTAATTTATTTTATTTTATTTTTTAATTGGAGCCTCACTCTGTCGCCCAGGCTGGAGGGCAGTGGCATGCTCCTGGCCCCCTAAGCCTCAACGTGCCAGGCTCCAGCAATCCTTCCACCTCAACCTTCCAAGTAGTCAGAACTACAGGTGTGCACTACCACGTCCCACTAATTTTGGGTTTTATTGTAGAGATGATGTCTGGCCAAGTTGCCCAGGTGGGTCTCGAACCCACGGGCTCAGGCAATCCAGTTGCCTCGGCCTCTCAACATGCTGGGATTACAGGCTGAGCCACTGAACCTGGCCCAAATTAAAAACTGTAAGTGAATAACTTAGTTCTGGTATTCTGTATAATAAAAGAGCCACAAGTATAAAATGATAGTTTAAAGGACAAAAGGTAACAATAAATTATTTACTATATAATTGGCAGTGTTTCAGGTTTACCTACAGCATTAGTTTCTTTAGGAATGCTATGAGGCGAACAGATACATCATTCTATTTTACAGCAGACACATTTAGGCAAATAAAGATTAAACTTCTAAGCTTAGTCCATAGTAAGAAAATAAAAATCTAATGTAATAATACATTATGTTTTTTTTTTTTAATTTAATATAATGCTTTGTGCCTTGATAAAATGACTTAGTCCAAATTCCTATAGGATTATGTTTGGAAACCTCCAAAAAACTGGGTATTATGATGCAGAAAACATATGACATATCTAGTATCTAGTGTTCCTGAGATTTCTGAACCAAATCCCAACAACCCCACTCCTCCCTTAGACACTTCTGACATGAGGCATAAATGGAAATTTTTAAATGACTTAAAAGAGGAATCCCTAGAAACATGCCCAGATTTTTCCTAAACCCCCAAAACAATGGACAAGCAGTCAGATCATGCACTCACAAGACATGAATGTACTCGAAGTGCACTGAAAAGGAAAGAGAAGATATAGGGGTGAAGATCATAAGGATAAACAGAAGATGTCTCTCTGTGTCAGCAATAGAAACCGAGACTTCTCAAAATTACTCGAATTGGAGCAAACCTTCTCAATCTACATTTTAAAGTCTGGCATTTTCTTGGACATTTGGACCTCTCATCTGTGTCATTGGCACATGTACTCCCATCTACTTGAGTGTATGGTTATTGTCTTCTCTCCCTTTCTATTCCAGGACCCTTTTTTTCCTCCAGAAATGTGACCAGTCATGGCTGGGAGACTGTCTACCACACTATTGCCTCTTTCCCAGAACAGCACAGTGAGCACAAGAGAAAACTCCCAACTCTCAATATCTCTTTCTGGGGAGACTTAGAAGAATGGATCATGTTTTCAAAGTTTTGGCTTTTTTTGGAGATACCCTTGACTGGTTTTTGTCACCCTGACATGGTGTACTGAAGAAAGTGATGGTGTATTATGGAAAACAGGTTTGTGTCTATTGAGTAAAAAATTAATGCTTTCTACAGTAGCAGAAAATATGCAATAGCACTTTGGGAGGCCAAGGTGAGAGGATTGCTTGTGCCCATGGATTTGAGACCAGCTTGGGCAACTTGGTGAGAACTCATCTCGAGAATAAATAAAAAAATTAGCCGGGTGTTGTGGCACATGCTTGATAGCACATGTTGTGCACAGCCTACTTGATAGGCTGAGGCCGAAGGATTGCCTGAGTCCAGTAGTTCGAGGCTGCAGTGGCCAGAAGTGTGCCACTGCATTGC